CCATTCCCAGGGGCCGTGGACCTGGATGCCATCGCCGACGAGACGCAGAGGAAGGCTCTGGAGGGCATCATCAGCAACTTCGGGCAGACACCGTGCCAGCTGCTCAAGGTAGCTGATACCCTGTGTTCCCCCCACCAAAAAATAGCTCTTTTTGGGGGGCCACCTCCCCTCTCATGGGTCCCCTGCCCCTCCCAGGAGCCCCATCCTGCCCGGCTGTCAGCAGAGAGCGCTGCCCGGAGGCTGGCCCGCCTCGACACCCGCTCGCCCAACATCTTTGAGAACCTGGACCAGCTCAAGTCCTTCTTCGTGGAGGTGAGGATGACGCTGAGGAGGGTCCCTGAGCAGGGCTGGTGGGAGTGCTGGTGGCTGGGAGGGAACCCACTGGTTGCTGTCTCCCCACAGGGCATCAGCGACGGGGTGGCCCTGGTGCAAGCCATGGTCCCCAAGAACCAGGCACACTCCTTCATCACTCAGGGATCACCCGACGTCCTGGTGAGTGTGGGGAAACTGAGGCACGGGTGCACCCTGCTGACCTGGGGGCGGGGGGGCAAAGCAGGACTGAACCCCCAAGAGGGCTCCAGTGGTGGGAGCCGTGTCACCTCCATCTCTGCCCAGGTCACCGTGAGTGCCAACGGCCTGTTGGGGACACACAGCTGGTTGCCCTACGACAAGAACATCTCCAACTACTTCAGCTTCACCAAAGACCCCACCGTCTCCAACGCAAAGTGAGTTGACCTGTGGTCCCCAGGGGTGGTCCCCTGAGGTGCCACCAGCCCACCCGTGGCTCTGCCACCATCCCATGTCCCTCCCCACCAGGACCCAGCGCTTCCTGCAGGGCCCCTTCGCCCCCGGTGTGGACCTCTGCTCCCGCACGCTGGCCGTGTCCCCTGATGGGAAGCTGCTCTTCAGTGGGGGACACTGGGACAACAGCCTCCGTGTCACCTCACTGGCCAAAGGGAAGGTTGTTGGGCACATCACGCGGCACATAGGTATGTCCTCCCACTGGTGAAGGTCTACCTGTGGGTTTGTGGGGCCGTGAGGGGAAGCAGGGGACACACAGGTGGGCAAGGGACGTCTCCCAGTGTCTCCTGTCTTCTGGGGACAGTCCAGGCTCCACCTCAGAGCTGGGGTGGAGTTAGGGTTAACAGCATCTCCACACCCCAAAACACATCTTGGTGCCACCCCTGGGGTCAGGATACCAAGCATGATGGGACAAGCTCCTGGTGTCCCTCTGTTTGTCACAGATGTTGTCACCTGCCTGGCACTTGACCTGTGCGGCATCTACCTCATTTCTGGGTCCCGGGACACCACCTGCATGGTGTGGCAGGTCCTACAGCAGGTAGGGGAGGGGGTTGACCCTTACTGCCCACACCCTGGATGAGGTGGCTCACGGTGGGCGCTGCCACCAGGTCACTGAGGTCCCCATGTCCCCAACACCAGGGTGGGTTCTCCAGTGGCTTGGCTCCCAAACCCGTCCAGGTCCTGTACGGCCACGACGCCGGGGTGACGTGTGTGGCCATCAGCACCGAGTTGGACATGGCAGTGTCGGGCTCCAAGGTGAGCTGGGACAGTGGGGTGGGCAGCAGGGTGGGCAGTGCCACCGTCACCACCTCCTGTCCCCTTCCTCCCCTAGGATGGCACCATCATCATCCACACTATCCGCCGGGGTCTCTTCATCCGGTCCCTGCGGCCGCCGGGCGAGACCTCCCCGCCCGCTGTCCTCTCCCACCTGGCCGTGGGGCCAGAGGGGCAGGTGGTGGCCCAGACCTCCGTGGGTCAACGAGCCTGCTTGAAGGTACGGCCAGGTGTCCCCGTGTCCCCTCCCTCGTCCCCGTCAGCACGTGTCCCCCCTCTGGGCTGTGTCCTGCAGGACAGGTTTGCGCTGCACCTGTACTCGGTGAACGGGAAGCACCTCTCGTCCGTGCCCCTGGACGAGGAGGTCACAGCCATGTGCCTGACCGAGGAGTTCGTGGTGCTGGGGACCATGCAGTGCAGGCTGGAGATCCGTGACCTCCAGAGGTGAGTGAGGGCAACCCCCCACCTTGTCCCACCCCTGTCACCCCCTTTCCAGGTGCTGCAAGGGGCTCCCGGGGTCCCATCCCTCCGCTCTCTCTTCTCGCAGCCTCCGGGCGGCTGTGCCCCCCGTGCCCATGCGGGTGCCCGTCCACAGCGTCTCTGTCACCAAGGAGAAGAGTCACATCCTGGTGGGCTTGGAGGATGGGAAGCTCATCGTGGTGGGGGCTGGGCAGCCCGCCGAGGTGAGCGTGGACCCTCCTCCCCAGCTGGGGGT